CTATCATTCTTATCCGTTCTTTCTTGCTTTTTCCTTTCAACTACTTGTACTCGCTTATTTAGATGATGTCTAAAGACTGCCTTTTTTCTTTCAAAATCATCATTCGTACGGCCAGAATTCCCAGCCTTTGTTGCTAGTAAGTGCTCTCTTCTTTGCTTCAACTTCCATACGTACCTCATCACCCCACCATAACATATTATTTTTCTTTTCATTCGGTCTCTTACTAACACCACATACTTTGGTAGCTGCATCCACTAAACATTTCTTAACATTTTGCCATACATTTTCTAAGTCTAACTCATTCGTACATAATTCATCATAACTTCTTATATTTTCTTTTAGTCTTGTTTTTCTCACCTTCATGTTGTTAACTTTTTTTGTTCTAATACGCTGTAACGTAGTATTAGACACAGATGTCCGATGGTGCCAACGCCTGAATAGACCAATAATTCGGCGTAAAACCAAATAATGATCCGTTCCTACGTTAGACCCCCGGTAAACCCTTGTATCTACCACTGCGCTCCTCATTCATACATCCACAATTATGAAATCTATCATTCTTCTGTCATCACCTCTTTCCCAAGTATACATCTGAATTTTCTTGTGGCGAAAGGAAGTGTTAGTCACAAAAAGATTCTTTTCCATACATACGGTGAGGAGGCTTTTACCATTTTCATTTATACTTTCATCACCAAACGTTCCCAATATCCATTCATAACCAAGCCTCTTCATCCCAACCCTTCCAAATCTCCTAGCATAATGACCTGGCGGACCTGGTGGACTATACGCAGAAACAGTATAATGCCCTGCGTGTTCAATACAATAATGCATTCAGGGTACTGTTGGGTCTGCCTCGTTATTATAGTGCGTCAGGTATGTTCGTGGGTGCACGTGTGGATTGTTTCTACACCACCATGCGTAAACGATGCACGTCCCTGGTGTGCAGGATGCGGGCCAGTTCCAATGGTATCCTGAGGGCATTTTCTGTACCTGAACCATTGTCATATGGTGCACGTGCTGACTAATCGGACCTGTCTTAGATATAGTTTTAAAATTAGGTAAAAAGTTTTAAGTTTTACTAACAACAGTTTTAACATTTGTATTATACTAACATCTATAATCCTTGTGGTCGAAATAAACGACTTTTAATTTTTATTTTTTATAATAATATTTTCATTTTCCTTACATTTCATTAACACCATCCTTATTATTTCCCAAAACTGCTCATCACTTCTTTAAGGCCCACTTTCATTCGTATCCATATACCTTTCTGAAAGTATGACACCTACTCTTTGGCATGCCAGCTCGGTCTCGTCTATACCAGACCAGTATGCGGTATACAGGCCATGTTTAGTGACATCCTGCCCTTTCCGTTTCGTCTCATTTACACATAACACATCTATTCCTCCATACTACATCCATCTTATTATTCATTGCTCCACATATATTCAGCGTAGCCAGACGGGATTTTGCAATCCACTTTCCGCCTCCCCGGGAGACAGAACGTGACAGGTGGTGAACCTCGTTGCCGGTTTTCCTCCCGGAGATTCTTCACACCCCTGCCCCATTTAAAGGGCGCCGGGAACTCGGGACCATTTCTTTGATTTGGTGCCTCATGTGTGAATGTGGGGGTGGTATGTGTTACGATGCTACCACGGCGAGGAGCCGAGTCTTTGCTATCGGCTTGGCGCTCATTTAGCACCACCCGGGGGACACGTGTAGGGTGGGCCTAGGGTTAAGTGGTCGAAGCCTATGGACGAGAGCGACTTATCTCGCTAATACTTTTTATTTCGATCTAATATTTTCTTTTTTAAATTGTATATAGGGTATATACAATTTAAAAAATAAAATATTAGATCGAAATAAAAAGAAGAGATTTGAAAAGTTAACCCTAGGACTTGTTGAAAATATAATGAACATACAGGAATTCTATAGAACGCAGGTGGTTCAGGACTGTGTTTTGTTTAATTCCTAACGGATGCCTATATACAACTCTAGACTTATTACATGGTTGTAATGATGATATTGATGATGTTTGGTGACACTGAACAGATTAATTTATTAAGTTTAATTTACATTAACTCGAAGATATGATATAAAATCCGTCAATACGCAATGGGGTAGAGACGGTACACCATACTCCAAAATAAATTCCTTCCTTATTAAATTTCTCAACCGATGGTACCTGTTCATTTAATGACAATTTCTGGAATATTTTCATCAACCGCCAGGAATTTTCATTGTTCCGTCTTATCAAATTCCGTCTAATCTTAACGAATCGTGAGAGCATGGAGGTTCCATAGCTTCGATAAATTCTACTCACTCTAGAATTTACTAAGCTGCCCGTCTTCAGTTTAAACATTTTAGCTTTTGAGACGGAAACGGGCGAGAATGATGATTAAATTATTGTTTAATGTAGTTTATCATCGTCTTTTATACACTACAACCAAAAGGAATATCACAAGCTCAATTTACCAACATAAATGTCGTCTTTATAGTTACATTCAAAACTTCATCCCCAATTTTTCTACTCTTAGTGGTACAATATTTTTTTCAAATTTATATGATAAAACATCTGAAGTATACAATTATATAACTCATTATTATCTCTTCTTTCATTATTCTCTATCTTAATGTGATATTATATAATAAACGAATCATTTTAATTGGTTGAAGAAGATATCGCGTAAGTACATACAAACATAAGAAACATACAGTCTATTTAAGAACTTCCTCCTTTTATTTCAGTTGTCTAAAAAGATAGGAACAGAAAAGAATGCATCGCTCATTCCCACATTATTTCCGTAGAGAAGATAATATGCTCTATATTTCATTTTAAAATAACCTCGGAATTTAATGTACTAAAGTGGCAATGGCAGATTGTTTCAGCACTTTTTTTGTAGAATAAAGTTTAAAAAATTAAACTTTTTTATAAGTAGATTCTGTGGCGTATAAACATATAATATATCTATCCTCAATTAAGTATCAAAATGCAGATGTTTTTTCTCTTTTATTGTTTAGGGGTTTTATCTAGAACTATAACGTGATACCCTAATCCTAATGACAAACAGTTGAAAATAAAACTCTATTAAGAAAAACAAAATTCACAGTGTTGTCATCTCCGACGACAGATGGAATGCGGAATGTTTCCAGTAAAAAAGAATCTCCGGTTTTACAAACTCATCATGTCAAACTCAGCAGCATTAAACTGCTATTTGACGCTGGTGAGTGGTGTGAGACACATCAACACACATTTCAGCCGTAATATATCTGCAGCGTGGGCATACCACGTGTAACTTTGTTGTTATGTACTGGAATCTACCTCGAAATATTCCTTTTATTTAAATAGTTGTGAGCATAATATCCTACACGTGCATTACAATTATTATTAGTTTCTAAGAAGGAGCATCAGCTAGTTCCCAGAACACTTTTATTGCACATTGTGGTCAACCGTACGTTGACCACAATGTACATTTTTTACTACATGTTGACTACATTGTACAACATTAAAAACGTAATACATCTTAAAATCTACCGCAACAGCACACTCGTAAAACAGTTCACGTATTTCAAACATATCACTCTTCGCCCAACACTGCCGTTGTTGAATCTCGTTAACTCGAATAACGTTATTTAAATTAAAAACTCATTTGCTTTTAAAACGCTTTACATTCGGTACTTAATTTGGTTTTTCGTCTTACGGATACAATATAATGAAACAACATATAAAACTGAAAAGAATAATTTGATTCAATGTACACTAGTACAGAAAATATATTCAAAGTAATACGAACGAATGGCATTAATTTTCGAAACATAGCAGTGCCCGTCATCTTTTCTGCTCGGTGGTTCTATTATATTATAAATAAAGTAGCGATACGAAAAGCATCGCTGAACATAAAAGGCAGGCAAAGGCAATATTCTTCTGCGATTCCCTACGGTGGGTCTACTTAATATATCTTTATGACGTCTAATATGTTCTTATTTCAAGCTTTTATTTAACTTACCTTCTTGATATGTCTTTAAGTTTGAAAATTTTTAATCAAGTTTTGAAGCTATTGCTTACATTCGATTAAACTGTACATACTTATGTTATTTCGATGAATCGTATAGTAGCAGTGTAAGAATCGATAGAAAATACTACCCACTATCTATGTATTAATAAGCGAAGGTAAAATTTTATACATTTTTTCAAGGACAATGCGCGCACATATGAATGTGATATTTGTCAAAGTTAACGTTTATAAAGAGGATAAAGCTGACATTAATGCGTAATAGGTGTTACAAACACATTAAATAAAATTAAAGAGCAAACATTGTTTACGTTTATACAGCCAATGTCTAAGAGTAAGTACAAGCCTATATTTGTTATTACTCTGACAACGAGTATATAATTTACAAAAATGTTTTTTTTTGTGAAAAATGTTACCCCCACACTAATATTTTCTTCTATATCGTGGAGTTAGTTAACATACATAAATTGCACAAGTACAAACATCCTGACCCGAAACAATTACTTGTAGACCATACAAATACTTGTTCCGTGTGGGATTCGAATGACCCGGGGCCCTCAGCGCTATAACTAATTGCTAAGCTACTGCGCCATGGAGTCGTCAAAATGATCGCTATGTTTTATACCGTACTTTAAGGTGAATGACAAACACTTAATAGTATGTGGTCAAACATTCATATAAAGTAGAGATTTTTGCCACAGAATTTTAAAACATTGCCAACAAATAAACACTGTCCTTTTTCAATAGTATTTAGAATAGTACAGTATTAAAAATTGTTTATATACCTACCATATTTAGTGTAAAATAATTACTTGATCTCTGTTTTTTATATAGTGCGTTTTACACGTGGTGAAGCCATGATGCAGCTATATTATGGTTATAGCACGAATGTGGTGTGGAGGATGGTCCTTTCTCGGTCGAGCAGACGCTCGATCGAGAAAGGACAATCCTCTCACAGAATACCAGCATAAAAATACTGTGTTTCGTATGGTGAGTGTAGAGATTCGAGGGCCGCTTTTTACTGGAAACAAGGCATTCCATCTTAGTCCTCAGGGGTGACAACGCATATGCATTTTGATTCTTAATCGAAAATAAATGTAGATGTCTATGAGCCACAGCATCCACTTACCATCAGGCAGTCTGTGTATTCCTTTGTTACCCTTGTTCGATAAAAAATGTGTAATTGAAAGAGAAATACTGCCGGCTTAATATACAAATCTAAAAATTTTATGAATTACGGTCGTATTTCATCACTAGCCGAGCCGTGGTAGCTCAGATGGTTAGCGCTCGCTGTAAATTTCACAATACGCGAGCAAACCGGGTTCGATCCCCGCCAGCACCAATGAAATTATTAATTGCAATTTTAAGTGCTGATTTACCACGTGCTCGCCGGTGAAGGAAAACATCGTGAGGAAACCTGCATGTCTGAGAAATAAGAAAAAAAAAATATTTCGAAGACATGTGAAGTTCGCCAACACGCACTGGGGCAGCGCGGCGGACATTTCCTTGCCCTAAAACCCTCTCAGAAATGAGAGGAGGCCTGTGCCCAGCAGTGGGACGTATATAGGCTGTAACTTTACTTTAATTTACTTTACTTTTCATCACTAGGCGACTACAAGTAAAAATAAATTAACACCAGCGACTTTACGTTATAAAATATTCATGGACGCATTAAAGGTAAATATAATAGGTCCTTACATATGAAATTGGCCTTTTGTAAGGGAGGAATACAAAGTCATTTTTTTTGTAAAATATATTTAATTAAGTATGCACCGTTGTTATCTATGCACTTTTGCCATCTCATAGGTAGTTCTTTGATCCTTTTACTTAAAGAAAACATGGGGGCGACAATCTATAAACTCTTTGAAGTCGGTTTGGACTGCCGCATCGGAGTTGAATTTTTTTCTTGTAAGAAGTTGTCCAAATTCCGGAAAAAGATGGTAATCTGTTGGAGCAATGTCCGGGGAGTACGGTGGATGCAAATGTAGCTAATCTAAGTGGTTGTTTGTTGTGCAGTGTGTGGTCTTGCGTTGTCGTGAAGCAGCAGTGGCCTAGAGCGATTGGCCAATCTCGGTTGTTTAGCAGCTAGTTATTCCTTCATGGTTTGCAGTTGCTGAAAATAGATATCTGCCATAATCGTTTGGCCAAATTTTAGAAAGCTGTAGTGAATGACACCGGCGCTTGTCCACCAAACACTCACAAGTAACTTTTACTGAGTCAATTCTCGTTTAGAGCAGCCCAAAGCCTGCAGCTATCTCTGAAGTGATTTGTGATGGATCCGCTTCCACAATAGCCTTTAATTCTTCATTTTACACTTTGGTCTCCGACCGTCAACGGGGTTGGTTCTGAAGGTAGAAATTTCCAGAACTAAAACGCTGAAACGAAAAACATACCGTGCTTTCATTTGCGACACCAGCGCCGTACACATCATTAATCTTTTGAGCTGTTTCTGCAGCACTGGTGCCACTGTAGAACTCGTACTCGTAAATATACCTATATTTCATGTTTTCCATTGTGCGGTAATAAGCGTTGCCAAGGAAAAAAATAATGAGGGAAAATGAATGACTCGTTTGTTTACAAAACTCAAATGTACCAGATAAATGAATTGACAAATTTGAATTTGAAATTCTTAACCAAAGATAAGATATTTCAGATTAAAATGGTCAGTACGACACAACGCTAATTACACATGTAAGGACCCAATAATATACTACTTGAATAAATGTAGTATGCAAACCAAAAGCAACACTGCCTATCACGATACGACATAGGGCAGGCCCGCTGCAACATCAACTTCTTTACTTGTGCTAAAATATAATATACTACTTGAATAAATGTAGTATGCAAACCAACAGCAACACTGCCTATCATGATGCGACATAGGACAGGCCCGCTGCAACATCAATTTCTTTGCTTGTGCTAAAATATAATATACCACTTGAATAAATAAAGTATGCAAACCAACAGCAACACTGCCTATCACGATGCGACATAGGACAGGCCCGCTGCAACATCAATTTCTTTGCTTGTGCTAAAATATAATATACTACTTGAATAAATGTAGTATGCAAACCAACATCAACACTGCCTATCACGATGCGACATAGGACAGGCCCGCTGCAACATCAACTTCTTTGCTTGTGCTAAAATATAATATACTACTTGAATAAATGTAGTATGCAAACCAACATCAACACTGCCTATCACGATGCGACATAGGACAGGCCCGCTGCAACATCAACTTTTTTGCTTGTGCTAAAATATAATATACTACTTGAATAAATGTAGTATGCAAACCAACAGCAACACTGCCTATCACGTTGCGACATAGGACAGGCCCGCTGCAACATCAACTTCTTTGCTCGTGCTAAAATATAATATACTACTTGAATAAATGTAGTATGCAAACCAAAAGCAACACTGCCTACCACGATGCGACATAGGACAGGCCAGCTGCAACATCAACTTCTTTGCTTGTGCTAAAATATAATATACTACTTGAATAAATGTAGTATGCAAACCAACATCAACACTGCCTATCATGATGCGACATAGGACAGGCCCGCTGCAACATCAACTTCTTTGCTTGTGCTAAAATATAATATACTACTTGAATAAATGTAGTATGCAAACCAACAGCAACACTGCCTATCACGATGCGACAGAGGGCAGGCCCGCTGCAACATCAACTTCTTTGCTTGTGCTAAAATATAATATACCACTTGAATAAATAAAGTATGCAAACCAACAGCAACACTGCCTGTAACGATGCGACAGAGGGCAGGCCCGCTGCAACATCAACTTCTTTGCTTGTGCTAAAATATAATATACTACTTGAATAAATAAAGTATGCAAACCAACAGCAACACTGCCTATCACGATGCAACAGAGGGCAGGCCCGCTGCAACATCAACTTCTTTGCTTGTGCTAAAATATAATATACCACTTGAATAAATAAAGTATGCAAACCAACAGCAACACTGCCTGTAACGATGCGACAGAGGGCAGGCCCGCTGCAACATCAACTTCTTTGCTCTTGCTAAAATATAATATACTACTTGAATAAATGTAGTATACAAACCAACAGCAACACTGCCTGTAACGATGCGACAGAGGGCAGGCCCGCTGCAACATCAACTTCTTTGCTTGTGCTAAAATATAATATACTAGTGAATAAATGTGGTATGCAAACCATCAGCAACACCGCCTATCATGATGCGACATAGGGCAGGCCCGCTTCAACATCAACTTATTTGCTTGTGCTAAAATATAATATACTAGTGAATAAATGTAGTATGCAAACCATCAGCAACACCGCCTATCACGATGCGACATAGGGCAGGCCCGCTTCAACATCAACTTCTTTGCTTGTGCTAAAATATAATATACTAGTGAATAAATGTAGTATGCAAACCAACAGCAACACTGCCTATCACGATGCGACATAGGACAGGCCCGCTTCAACATCAACTTCTTTGCTTGTGCTAAAATATAATATACTAGTGAATAAATGTAGTATGCAAACCAACAGCAACACTGCCTATCACGATACGACATAGTGCAGGCCCGCTGTAACATCAACTTCTTTGCTTACTAAAAGAACTACCACGACGGACAGGATAACGACAACGATTAAGACTCGTGGAAAGACCAAATATACCTATTAGTTTTGTACCCTCACTCGTAACAGTATGTTCATCACCCCATATCATCACGTGTTGTAAGAGGCGACAGGGGGAAACTGAAACAGGGTACAGTAGTGGATACAGAGCAACCAAAAAACCAATCTACTAAGCGTGGCAACTATAGCGAGTATCCTCCTGATGAGGCAATCTTTGGGAGAAATTTATATTTAGCAGTGGAACATTTATGCTGTGCAGAATGGATGGATAGGATGGATTTAACGCTTATGTTAATGCAAGATTATGGAGCCGATCTGATGATGGAGCCAGATGCTGACCTCAGTAACCATATATAAACTAGTTACCTTCGCTCTACCATGCTTTTTGAATTGAAAAAATAAATACTAAAAAACTAGAAAATTTTCACCTATAAAACTTGTTTTTGAACATTTTTTATTGCTTAATTTATTTGATACAAATATTATCTAATTAATATCAGGCGTTGTGCTGAATTCCATTATCGAGTGTGATTAATTAGTTTCAAATTACTTAGCTAAAATCCACGTGAAAAAATTAATTGTTATGTATTATCTAGTCAGAAGAGCACCTCCCTCCCCTCCACAATTGCACTATCACTACTACCATAAACGATATTTCAATTTATAGATTTTATCTCTAAAATATACTAGCACAGTTGTGAATTCTCTACTAACCAAATATGGACAAACAACAAAAAAGAACCAAAATAAAGATTTATTAATATTGTTAATAAAGTTTTACAATATTTAAAACCAGCACTAAATATTGCATAACTAGTGCAAGTGTTTATACAAATCACAAAAATTAAACTGGAGTTTCACCAAATTTTAGTCATATTATTATTTATTTACACAGTATTATTTATTAAGCCCAACACAAGCAACACTACAATAGGAAATACATACCATCGTCTATTATAAACTTGAAGTCTGATCCTCAAACTTTTATAAAGTTAACGTCTTTAGTAGCTTAAGTAAATGACTAAGATATATAGTCGCGGCGCTACGGACTTCGGGTTTAATTCCGGCACGGAACATGGACGGTTACAGCTAACTAATACTTTTAAGTTTTGTTTTTGAAGTAAAATTTCTTTAAGCGTGACTTGAGTAATTCAGAACTTTTTTCGAACGGAAGTTTGAAATGCATAGTTCGTTTACCTAGTTTCAAGTTTATAAAGACACTATGAACTACAGGCGATTGACTTGAGTATTTCGTGAGTTTAATATCTATCATATATACATACATTATACATTTCTATACGTGGTAGCGCAGATTTATTATGATTGTAGCACGAATGGGTAGGCTGGACCGGAGAAGGATCCCTCTCTCGCAGAATATCAGCGTAAAATAGCTTAATTAAGCTGTGTTTCATTACAGTGAGAGTGGAGAAACGGAGACTCCTTTTACTGGAAACGAGGCATGCTTTTTAATCCCCTCTACATTAAATTCAAAACACATTATTATTCATTTTTTAATCGAAAATAAATATAGGTGTATATGAGTTACAGCATTCACTTACCATTAAGAGGATTGTGGTGTTAGTTTGTGACTTATATATTTAAAAAAAAACTTTTTTGTTACAGAGTCAACTGTGGGACGAGTTAGAACTAGAAGACGCCACTTTTGCCGAGTGCAGTATCAACAACGCTAACCACAGCTTCCAAGTAAGTTACAGTAATAACTTACATTACAACTTATAATCTGTAGGAAAATTTTAAAAAGAGGCTATTTCAAATTTTGAAATTCTTAGTTGTGGATTTCAGTCACCAGAAACGCCAGTCAGTAGTTAGCAATTAGCAAATTTTTTTAGTGAATTTTTTAAGTGAACTTCTCTATCGTCGTCACCAACAAAGTATATCTGTAAGAACTGTGGTTCATTCTGGGGTGGTGTAAGCAAACTTCTAACCAAATGATACACCGGGCCCTGCACTTTGAATGTAGGCATAAGACTATCCTGTATTATCTTTCTAGCTCTAAATGAGGTCATTTGAAAACAACTATTATAATGACGTATGCCAGCCATGAAGTGATAATATTCAGGGTAGAGGTTTTTTATCAAACAATCAAGAAGATCTGGAGATTTTCTAAAGGTTCGAGCCTGAGCCTTTCCTGAATGGCAGCACATTTCCACAGATTCGTCCTTGTATTTGAGATTTTTACACCACTTGCATTCGATGTTCATCGGCCTAAAACAATAATATTATCACTATGCTACGCTGCGTTACTACCATAACTCAGTCCAGAAAAGGCTTTAGAATTCCAAGGTTGTAGACATCATTCTCAACTCGAACGGGAGGATCCAACTCGCTCATGTAACGTGTGTCTGTAAAGACTTAGTATTGATATTATTAGCTTATTGTAATTATTAGTTTTTAAAGTTTGCGAAAAGAATATTTGAAATGAAATATGATGTCACTTGGTTTCGAAAACAATTTACTTAATTGTTCGAAAAATAATAAGTCTGGTCCTATTTTATAAAATATTTTTAGGCATATAAAGTAATAACAATAAATAACTAAACAAAAACGAGTATATCGATGTCGATTGTTGCTAACGAAATCATTATAGATTACAGACATAACGTCTTGAAAAGTAACGCCATACATAATACTGCTACAATCGGGATAAGGTAAGGGTACGTATAAAGAGACCAAAGATGACCACTTGACATATCAATTTATGTAGAATTGTAAGTTCCATCTATGCATACGTAAGTACGTAATTACTAGCTTTTAAGTGAGTTCAACGTTTTGAGTTTTTAAAGATGTGTCAAAATAAAATGAAATTTAAATCAAAATCACTAAGAAGTATTGATATCAACTACAATGCAAATCACTCCCAAAATCAGTTTCTACCCCTTTTTAACACCATTAGGCGATGAGTTTCAATAAAATACGAAACACGTCTTCCATCAATTCTGTTAAAGAATGTTTATGCAAACTTAGAAGTAGATTGGACCAAGGGGTCACGTTGTCCCATACAAACTTTGCCCCCGTTTTCCATCCCCTTAGGGATAGAATTTCAGAAAATCCTTTCTAATCATATGTTTACGTCCCACAAAGAATACACCCTCCAAGATTCAGGTCTCTACAATCAGCAGTTTAGGCTGTACGTTGATCCGTCGTTCAGTAATTAGGCAAAGCATTTTATATGATATATAGATGTTATCCCAAAATTGTGGTTGAAAATTATCTTATTAAATAAATCATTTGCCGTGAAATATTTTTATATTATATTTCATTTTATTTGAAGGTTTCACTTCTACTGCTTCAACTGCACTCATGTTTTTTTTATTTGAGGGAAGTATGAATTTGCCACGGGTTTCTAAAGGTATTGTTACAGCAGTTCAAAATATATAATACATAAAAAAGATTCTCAGAAGACTAAGTTTATAGTAGTCAAATTATTTTCATTTTTTTTTCTAGTTAAAATTTATAGCAGATTATTCATATAGGATTTTTGCACCCTCCATAGAAGCTGTTAAATTTGGTGATCTGAGTTCCGGCTCAATCGTTCTACTAGCCCTTCAGCACTCCGTTGTGACAGACACAAGGACGCAAGGAAGGGAATCACTTCTGAATGATGACCATATTTCTTGCGCTACCTACTTGACCGGCGTGACCCTTTTGGGTTCGTCTTATCCAGGCCACTGTGAACCTTTGCATTTTAATTAAATATTAACTCCCTTCAACAATCTTTAGATTTTGTTTCATATTTTTATTTTTCTCTCCAAAAAAGAATTTCCACTTGGAATCTAGCTCGCTTAATTAGACAATTATACAGAGCTTTAATACAGTAATAGCCAAATATAAACGAAAAATGTTAATCTTTTAAATTATTTTTAATGCTTGGTGAAGTATAAAACACATAAAGGAAAATAACGCTATAAACAAGTTGTTTTTAAAGAATTTTATCACATATCATATAAACACTCACGCCTGTCACCTAGAGGGGTAGACAGAGATTACAGACTTCCATTTGACATGATCTTGACAGACCCCTCTCGCCTCCTTCACGTCCATATACCTACACATACATGCTCGTCAGTTAAGGGTACTGCTTATTTTATAAAGATAAAGAATATAATATAGATAAAGAATTTTATTTTCGTTTGAGTACTTTGGTCAGTTAGAGGGTAAATTTTTCGGAGCATGACTTTATATATTTCTTGCATCCCCAGGGGACTCTTGAGTGGCAAATTACACAATGTAGATGTTTCTCAATTTTTTGGATAGTGTCGCGAGCCATTTTGGAACAAACCCTTTATGACAATATTTCGTGCCAGCACATCGCTTGCAACTTTGCAAAGCACAAGTTCGGCCTATCATGGAATATTATTCTCATCTCTGGGTTGAGGTACCCCCGTGCCAGCTCCTTCTACTTCATCGCATCCAGCGCAGAGCGGTTCGAATCGTCCACGATTCGTCCACAAACTTTGAAAGAAGAAAATTATTTGTATCGGAAATTCCTTCTTATTAATTTTAAGTGCTAAAAGTTAAAATTAAATTAATAAAATAATGCATCCTGAGAAAATAAAGTAGAATTTTAAGTATTTTATGAAAAATGACGATCTTGCGTTTAATTTTATTTTTTTATACTTTTTGAATATACGATAATGTGAGTCGGTACAACGGCACCACACATTTAATTTAATTACATTTCACTACATTTCTAGGGCCACCCATTGTGTCGGCCGCGTCTATGGTGTCCTTTTCTTTAAGCTCACGTAATTGTGGCGTCATATATGTTAGCCAAAGGATTAAATTTATTAAAACATAAAGTCGGTTTACTTACTTTATGATATGATATTTTCATAGAATAAAGGTGACAAACGAGCACACAGTCCACCTGATGATAAGTGGATACTGTGACCCATAGAAATCTACATTTATCCTCGATAAGAATCAAAACGCAGATACGTTGTCACTCCTGAGGACTAAGATGGAATGCCTCGATTCGAGTAATAAAGGGTCTCCGGATCTCTAAACTCACCATACGAAACACAACAGTATTAAGCTGCTATTTTACTCTATTCTGTGAGAGCGGGGTCCTTCCCCGGTTGAACCATTCGTACTACAGCCATAATATAGCTGCAAAGTGGCTCTACCACATATGATATTGCGTGTGCTTTGTTTGCTTTGTTGTAGTTTGTTATCTGCCAAGATTAAGAATAACCATTTCATTGGTGCTGGCGAAGGTTTGAGATTGCTCAAGTTGCACACAAAAAATTATATTAGGGCGCAATACCACGTTTAGGGCGAGTGCTTATCTATTACGATTGTTTGAAACTGGCTACACAGCAAAACACTGAATATTTATCTAAATTACGAATAGCTTTTTAGATCACTTGTTATTATGTCGTTATTAGAAATTTATGGTTTCCATTTTGTGTTAATGTTGGACAGATTTAATGTGAATTCGATCGATCCATATTAATTTATTACAGCCTTGAGTTTACATTATATTTATTAGGCAGTAGGGGGCCATATGATTGTTGCCACCCTCTTAAGCCGGCAATACGTGCTGGCCAAGCCTCATTCATCGCGAGCGTAGGCAAATTGATACAAGGTGAGTGCTACAGTCTACATGTTTATCAAATTTGAATAAGTGAATATACTAGCATGGCCGACTAACATGTGGACACGACTTGCCGAGTGCAGGCGAACGCCTTCGATTTGTGCAGCAAAATCGACACTGTTCCGAAGTGAGGCAAGTCGTGGCGAGCGATCCCGAGTGGTGACAAAACACGCCAAACGAACCGTATACACGTTGGCGCTCGCCTGCACTCGGTCAGTTAAACGAGTGACGACGAGCAATGCAATGGCGACAATAGACAAATGGGGTGTCTATACGCTGTTAGTCGTCTTTGCTCGGCCAAAATGCATTGCCAGCTTTACTTCTTTCTGTCATCAAATAGCAGCGTTGCTGTGTTCTGGTCTTAATGGTGTAGAAAGCCAATATAATTACAGCCTGTGAGGCATTACATCAGAGGTGACAACGTCTCTTCAGTTTTATTAAAACTGATGTGTTATTATAATTGTAAAACTAACTCTAGATATAGAATCTACTGCTGAACATAGTGTTACGAGCTTGAGGTTCGTGACAATAAAAATTGCCGATAAAATTACCTAAATTAACACTTTAATTTACTTTACACAAATTAAAACTTAAAACACTAATAATTAAACACACTAATTCACTTTATTCCGCTCCGAAGCTTCGCTTGTCTCGCCAAATCCAATACTGCCCCGATCGCATCTTGCAGCGCCTATATATACAAGTTAGCAATGAAGCATCCGGAATATTCAAGTAAATGCGCGCAAAGCGACGAGTGTTCGAGTGTAGATTTTCTAGAAACTTAGTTCTTCGGTTTGAGACTAAATGGCGCTGTCGATTGAAAGATTTGTGTTGTCATTTTCTGAAAAGCTCCCCTCGCTCTCGTTCCTGACACTAGATGGCGCTAGTGTATCGTCGACTTGAGCGCGTAACACTGCCCCCCTCCTAAGACATGCTCGTCCCGAGCATTCTCGGCCCCATAATAACGCGCCAAACGATCCACATGGACGATCTTAGGAGTCCCCTTTGCGCCTTTCTGTAACGGCTCCGCAATGTCAAGGGATGTCCTATCCCGTGGTGCACCAACATTGTACAATTTCGATGCTCC